CAACAACAATGACTGTTACTGATTTTTTGCCTGAGACATGAAGCTTTAGCCTCATCTTTTAGCATCATATCATGTATGCAGCCATCATGTGCATGTTTATGATTCTTTTACATGGTTATTATTTTAGAAAAGAGTCAAGTGGAAGATAAAAATGTCTGGAGACAGAGTTTTCAACAAACTCACAGAATTAGCATTAAATAGATAGCTAGCAGTACCTAATAAAATCTTTAGTGACAGTCATTTTAGAGGAAAAAAAATCAACAGTGGTATATGTGTCATGCAAGAACAGTTAGCTCTTGACAGGCCTTACAACACTAACCACAAGCGGCTTAGACAAGGGTCTTTTTTTTTTTTTACATTGCATCAAAAATATTACAAAAATGTCAAAATATCTTAACAGCAACAGCTAATTCGTCAAAAACGTTTGAGTTTCGTACCAGCAATAACAGCATTAGTTGATGCTACAGCAGGAATGATCCTCTTCACAACTCCTGTGGCACAACAAACAGACATCGTTCTCATCACAGTATTACAGATACTTGTGAACCAATGACGAGAAATTTATCAGTTTCATCAAAAAATGATTAATGTACCACATTTGCATTGAATAAATTATTCACAGGTTTACCTTGAGTGAGTCTGTATGTCACTCCTGTAATGTTAAACTCTGCAGCTCTTTCTTGGGCTCTTTCAAACACCCACTGGATGTGCTCTGGATTGTCTCCATCTACGCTGGTATCTAGAAAAGGAGAAGACCCAGGTTAATAGCCTTTATGGTAATAACGTACAGATATAGGTTTTCCTGACTAGATGTGGTAAAGTAAAAAATAAAGATGTGGATATTTTAGCCTACCTCCAAATGGCTTTTCTTTTGGCCATTGTAAGATTCTGGCATATTCAATGCAATGTTCTGGCAGCCTTGGCATTGATGCAATGGTGCACATGGGGAAATTAATCTGTGGATTGTAAAATTTAAATTAAAGTCAAGCATTAAAGCATCTAAAGTAGCACTCAAAGCTCATTTCTATTCTGCATAATGTCCTTGCAGAAAATGAAGACAGTGATAATAAAAAAAACGTTTCCATCAAAATCCCTACTTAATTTTATTTCTATATTTTATTATCTGTGTGTTTTGGCAGGACCTTTGGTGCAGCATTGTCACTGCTGTACTGCTATTGTACCTCCCTTACAAGAAAACACCTGTAACTTTCTGTAGGTGGTGTTTTTTTCTTTGCCTATTTAGTCTGGTAGCTATTTCCACTTATGATCTAGGTCTTTTATTTTTTCCAAACACAAACAGCTGTTGCTGCAGATGGAAAAGTAAAACATCACCTTCTGTGCACCACAGATGCCTCACAGATGCTGTCTTTCACCCAAAACACAAACCGAACAGTAAATGTGACAGCTTTTGTAAAAGATATGAGCTTGATGGACTATTCTGTCACATCATTCTTTTATTGTGTTTAAAAAACTCTTAAAAGTGAAACTAGAAGATAAATTGCTGCTGAAAGTGACCTGTGGCGGGTACAGCTCCAGTGTGCAGTCGATGCATGCAGTCATGCCAGGCAGAATAACACGAGCATTTCCTTTAAAGCCCTCCGTTCCTCCATCGATGAGTGGAATGATGGAGCTGGGATCCAGGACTCCGTCTTCATAGCTCAGGAGGGAGATCTAGGGAAGGCAACATCAATCATAAGCAAAGATTACACTTATATCAGGTAAAGAGAAGGAAATACACTGAACTGAATCAAATTTCTCTTTTCTACCAGCATCCCATTCATCCAGCGTCTGGCAATGATGGAGTCCAGTCCACAGACGATGATGTGGAACTCTGCAAAGACAAGATGAGTGTTTTGAACCTCTGAGGTGTTTACTTGGTGAACTCTGCTAATGCATAGAAGATCGTAAGAAAAAATACACTTACGCCTGTAGAAAGACTCATCAAAGTCTTGGATCTTTTTAAAGTGACTGCATGTTATTCATAAGGAAAAAAAAAATCACCATCAAGATATTTTAGACAATGTTAACTAAACCTGAGTTACTTTTCAGCTGTGAAAATTGTTGCTGCAAAGGATACGGGACGACTTTACATCCAGGGATACGACTGTTGATAAAGTCAGCAGCTACTTCTGCCTTCGGTCGTCCAACATCTTTGGGCCTAAATGGATGTATAAAGCAGTTAATTATATATATAAGATGTTGAATCTAACCAGATTTAATCAGACCAGTGCTACAGTCACCAAGAGGCAAACTCACTTACATTTAAGTATAAATTCAAGTGACTTGTACTTTGCCTGATGATTTTGATTTGATGATCCTTATTTCCGCAATAATTCAGGGGGAAATATGGGTACTGCTGCTATATTTAAGTCAAGGAACCGAGTAGTTTGACCACCAGCAAATTCATTTCAGTCGATCACAGATACCATGACATGGTTGCTGACGGCTATTAGACTATAATATCATATTTCAGAAAAGCAAATTATGCACATTCATGTAAATTAACAATAATTATGTAAATAATTATGGGTAATTTAAAACTGTGGATGAGTATCTCACACCTTTTTTTCACCTCATACTGTATTTGTCTAATATTAAACTACTGGTAAAACTATAAGATGAAAAACAGAGGTGACACCTACCTGAAAAGAAACTGCCTGTTGAGGTTGGAGACATCAATAGTGTCCATGTCAACAACATGAATAAGGCGAAACCCAGACAGAGCCTAAAGCACAAGAAGACAATATAAGAACTTATCTAAACCAGTGTATTTTCTCAGCTTACACTTAAGTAAGTACATTTATATAATGTAGAATGATTACAGCCATTTCCCACCAGATTTTTGAGGAGTTCACATCCAAGTCCTCCTGCACCAATGACCAGAATTTTGCATGTCTCCAACAGAAACTGCAGAGACTGGAGTGAAAAAAGCATCAAAATGTTTAAAGAACTGCATTTAAGAAAAATCACTGTAACTTGACAGTGTGAACTCAAAGCTACAGATATTTCACACTACACTGATTTAGATTGACGTATAAAGTGCATGCATTCTGTAAGAGGAAGGCATTTCCGTGTCACCTCAGTGCTTGGCTCAAAGTCAGGATGGGTGAAAGGGCCAGGTCTCTCCAAAAACTTCCTCACATGATTCCACCGGCCATCCCAGTCGCAACCACTGTCCCTGTGTCCACCATCTACAGCCATTCTGGACACACAACATACCAAGATACACTGAACTTGTACTATAACTTAAATGGGTACATTTCTCCCTACTTATCCCTACTAACATGCCATTTATGTCTTATTTCATATTTTTAATTTTCAGAGGGAGAAATTTCAAACTCATTGGTTTTGCCGATTTTTCAATATCAGCAAAACCAATTAGTTTTTGGTGGACTACCAAACAACGCCATTCTGTCTGGGCATTCCTGATATATCGCTATACCAGAACGTGAGGTCACCGTGACCTTAACCTTTGATCACCAAAGGTCATTTCTTAAATGTAATTTACTCAATGAAATTAAGTTGAGTAAAATTAATCAAATTTAATGAAGTGTACTCAATTCAATTAAATGTTCTCATATAAATTGAGTGACATTGATTAAATTAAATTATATATTTGTTTCAAATAAGATTCATATAAATGTGGGTAATGCTGGATCTCTTCGTGCTGCGAGTTTATCAGAAAACCAGATGTACTACAAAGATGGCTGACAATCTTCAAAATCATATGCAGTGTCCCAATTCCATACAATTGTATACAGTTTACCCTGTTCTCTATAATATACAGTTTTTACAGTTAGAATACAATAAATCAATATATTTATTTTTCATACTGTAATACATTGCCCATTAGATATTGAACTGCAAATCTGTAATTACAGTGACAACTGAACTTTCTTTTCAGAGCTATTCTCACCACTATTGTTTTTACACACTATATTGTAGCTCCTCGATTTCATTTCCACATTGCATTATGGGACACTCACTCATTAATACAGACTTTTATGTGTTTACTTAATGGTCACTTTTTACACTTGAACACTAACTCAAACCCTGCTCAGGATTAATTTGTAGTATGGAATTGGTGCACAGCTATAATGTGCTAGTCACTCTTGCAGTGCAGGGTCTGTTCCTTTTGTTTGACACTGAATTGATTCATTGTGTTAATGGGTGAATTTTAAAAACAGTTAACTGGTTTATTAAGGATGTCCCTTGCTAATATGTTTATTTTCATGTCTCCTGGCCCAGCAGTCGCTGCTCACTATGCAACGCAAACCTGCTGCCAGTCAGAGACCTTTATTTAGCATTCGTCACTAACTTCTCAGTAAGGTCCTCTATTCGCCTTCTTTTCTTCTCCCTGGAAGAAGAAAGGAAAGCAGGGTTCAAGCGTGCCGTATTGACAACAAACCGCGAGGGTTAAAGTGTGGTAAAATTATATTTTTCGTCCATTGAGACTTACGGCTCCTCGGCATCCGCCATACTTTCACGGTCCCATGTCCTCGATTCTGACTGCTGTGTTCACGGGTGTCAAAGCTGCGCTGCACACAACAGTTTGAACTTCCTATGTTTTCTTCTTCTGCTTTCTGATAAATAAATAAAACTGAAGAGCCAACAGATCTTCATAAATGTAACCCAGTGATATAGATGTGGTTTCTCCTTTGAATGGCACATGGCAAGGTGTTGATAGAGAGATAGGTGGACAAATAGAAACTATCCCATAACAATGTGTCTGCAACATTTGTAATTAGTGTCTTTAATTCATCTAAACCAACAACAGCCTTGTGGTTTACTTTATTGTTTACATTGTTTGAATAACTATCGTGGGCTGTTGTTTTTTGTTTTGTTTCTTTTACATATGTTCTTTTTTTAAAATGAGGGGGTGCTGCTGCGCATTCTTTAACGCCAGTCTGAAATTCCAAGCACTTCTTTGAAAATCTGTCTCTCGCGAGATTCTGAGCGAGACTACGGCTTCTTGTCCTCCCCTTTTCGCTCGCAGCTCAGACGGTGATCAGCTGACCTGTCAAAATATTACGCAGCCCGTGTGGGTATGTTTGTGTTTGTGTGTCTTTTAACTACACGTTGAAGACATGGCAGCCAAGATGGAGCTTGCACCTCTCAGACCGTGGGATGATTTCTTCCCTGGAGCCGACCGTTTTGCCAAACCAGAGTTTGGAGATTTAGCAAAGTGGAACAACAGAGTGATCAGTAATTTACTGTACTACCAGACCAATTATTTTGCCGTGGCCGTTGTGGTTTTTATCATTGTGGGGTAAGTACTGGCAATATGCTAACGCAGGCAGGCTAGCATCTCTGGCTCTATGTTTAATTAGCCTGCATACCTTTTACCCACACCCATCATGACCACACGGGCTATTTCTGTAACGGTTGGCATTGTTAGGTCAACGTTGAAGGAACTGTAACTCTTTTATAGGTTTTGCCTTTTATATATTTGCCTTGCTTAGCTTACAAGTGTTTTTCTTTCTAATCTTTTCGTAATATCAGCTGGAAAACAACTGTAGCTAGCTTAAATTGTGTACAAGTGCTTCAAAATCCCAGGAGAAACGATCACTGATACTACGTTAGATTTGGAGTTTCTTTATGTGTATACATCACTACTGCTAGCTGGTTGTGGCTTTGCATAAATGACATGTAGTTCGATAGTCTTCTTTGAATAGAGGATGATGTAGTGGAAATGATGAGTATAGGCCTTTCTGCAGTCATCTGCCCTCTTATGGTTTACACAAAACTGGCCAGGATATTAGCTATTGTTGTTTCCACCAGCAGGTTGTGCTAAAAATAAAAAAATAAATAAAGCCTACACCCTATGGAGTATATATACAATGTGTCATTTTTATTATGTTTCAATATTCAGGTTCCTGAACCCATTTGGCATGTTCCTGGGAGGAACTGTGGTGACTCTGGTCTTTGTGGGTTCAGTGTGGGCAGGAGAGAACAAGGCCCCCATCAAGAACTTCAAAAGGAAGAACCCCACCCTGTTTGTCATTGGGGTTATGGTCACCAGCTACTTTCTGCTGTCACTGTGTGGTGGCGTCATGGTATTCATCTTTGGTATCACCTTCCCTTTGCTGTGTAAGTCTCAGTACATTTAATGTAGTTGCAAATAAATTACCATTAAATTACCACACTGGACTGTCAGAAATCACAGGTTGGGCCCGTTTAAATGTAGAGCAGTCCCCTTACTTTTTTGAAATCCATGTGATTTAATTTAGTTTTTTCTGCATGAACAAGCTGTCAATTAAGTTACATTCTGTTCAAGTTGTTCTAGTAAAGAGGATGATGGCCACACATTATTAGTAATATAAATTATACATTTTTTTTAAACTTTGGACTATATTAAATAATAATAACAATAATAATGATCATCATCATGACAGTGATGTCAATCTAATTTGAATAGCACCTTTCATATTTAGATGCAGCACATGCTATACATACAATTGCATTAAAATGCTCAGATTAAAAAGTTGCAACCAAACAATTTAAAATACACTAAAATTGAGTTGAAAATAAAATATTCCAGTTAGATAGTGGTGGTGGAATAAGAAACTAAGAGCAAGATTAAAAAGATGCATCTTGATGTTACTTGAAGCAATTATAGAGGTTGCATGCCAAATGCCCAGGCTGTTCCACAGTTTTCCAGGAAAAACCAAAACTACTGTAGGGTGGGAAAATACGTGTGCTCTTTTAAATGTGAATGTTAGTCGAGAATGACACCCAAGCTTTTTGCCTCAGATTGAACCTGTTTTGCAACAGTTTGAAGGCCTGTCTTAAAATTCTGTCTTTCTTTGATTCAGCCTCAGTTACTATATATATCCAAGTTGTAATACTCTTTAAGCATTCTGTTTAACAATGTAGACTAGACAGTAGGTGCTTCACCTTGTCTGTGAGCAAAAGCACTTCACAGTTGATCCGTTCCTATAACACAGAACAAAATGTGCTGTCAGATAGTTTTGTTTTGGTTACAAGCAATGACACTGCAACTTGTAATTTAAGGGAATGGCTCTTGTAAAATTAAATTTAGCTATGAGAAAACACATACATATTTTTTTCTCTGCATCTTTTGCAATGATGTGATATGAAATATGAATAGATATGAAAATGCAAAATCTCATGAAATATGTTCCCTGGTTAATGCTGGTTATTTTCTTGCAGTGATCCCAGTAGTGACAAAGACTTCTGGAGACGCATACAATAATTTAATATATAACTTTAAGTATCAGCATAGTTTAATATTATGCTTCAAATGTAACTTGTGTTCCCTGTGGCATATTGCGAACACTTGTTGGCTAATGTTATTTGACAAAAACTGTTTAGGGGGTGGTGAGTCACCCAGGGATGCATAACTGAGGTTTTCTGTGGGTGATGAAGTTTTTCCAAGCACTCAGTCTGACTCACTGGAGGGATTGAACAGTACGCACAGTATCAATGACATGTATTCACTCATAACACACTGTAAAATAAAGTCAGCATTACAAGGCAAGCTATAATGTACTGTGGATTAGAGCTATAGTTTTGGATTTGCTGCAGCTCTCTAAATACATTTAGAGTCAGAAGTTCAGCAGAGTGGTTTAGATAATTGATGGGTTGGATCGTTGCAGCCGCTCTAACATCGTGGCGGATAGACGAGGTAGTTTGATCGCTTCCCAAGAGGCCTGCCCACTGCTGCCTGTGTTGACGGGTTGCTATGGGTTGTTGATTTGGACAGAACTACATTTACTGGCTGATGTCATGCATTCACTATCTGCCTGACAAGGGAATAAAAGATATGCCTATCCTCACACCTGCTTCAAAGTCTGGGTTTCAGCAGTATCACATTTTGTTTTGTTATTTTCCAAAGATGTATCCCACAAAAAATCATCTATAAAGTTTGATTTTGTATTTACATTGGAAAAAATAACAACAATTCCCTGTTGTTTTTCCTATAGTAATCCTGATCCATGCCTCTCTGAGACTGCGCAACATGAAGAACAGACTGGAGAACAAGATTGAAGGTGTTGGGCTGAAGAAGACACCCATGGGAGTCATCATGGACCTCCTGGATCAACAGGAAGAGAAAATTAACAAGATTCAGGATTTTATTGAAAGCAAACTGAAGGAGTAAGGGAGTGCCAAGGGAAGTAAGTGTCACACAGTATGGATTGAAATTTTCATAGCATCGTCCCATGTGTCAAGTTTTTATCCCCCCTATATATGTAAAGTTACTGAAGTTCGCATTCCCATACTTTTTATCTATTTACATTATTCTCTTATACATTTGTATTAGTTTAGAATGTCTAAAGCGTACAGATGGTTACTTACAAGATTATAACAAGATTTGCACAATCACCGTGTGGACTGGATGTTAAGAGGCAATGGGCACTTAAGATTACCAAAGGTTTGATCATTCCTGTTTCAATAAATGTTCCACAAGCAAATCATTTCCCTTGTTGACAACGCACTTTGTTCTAAATGATGACTGAGTATTTATTTCAGCAAAATAAAGCTGAATGTTTCAGCACAATGCAGTTATTAGATACTAATTCTATTTATTCTAAAAAAAAAAAAAAAAAAAAAACCAAACCAGATCATTTCAGTTTGCTACCTCAAAACAAACATGTTAGATTTTCTTCTGGCCAAGTAGACCCAACACCCAGTAAACTGTTAACCGCTTAGTAAACAGCAATAACTCTCATCTGGTTATTTCAAGAGCTGTATGAAGACTGATCTGACACCAGTTAGCTTGTAATGTAAAACATGGTTATATGACCTGACTAATAATCTTGGAGTTGAGATATTTCTGTTGTCAAAAGATTATGTGCATACAGCTCCGGACCATACAAGCTGTCCTGAGTGTATCCCCTCCGACCACAGCTATGCAATGTTGGTTAAAAAAGAAAAAAAAGAATGGCAAGTGCAGCTTTATTGTTGAATATTATGTCATATTATTTACATGTTTGTTGTTATTTTTAATGTGTCTTTATTTTCATGATATAGCATGCAGAAATGTATAAAATGGTTGCAGTACATAATTATGGCAATGAGGCAAAAATACTGATTAAATTGACATTTTAACTTTAATTTACCACTGTTCCCTCATCATTGGTAAATACTGGACTAGAGACACCCTGTGCTGTTTTCCCATCAAATCCCCTTTCCTTGTAAAAAAAAAAAGCTAAATTAAATCTATCATCTGTATTGTTAAGTGTTTATTTGATACTGCTACTCCTAATATTTAAGCTGTTGTTTCCTGTTGCTTTTCTCACCTTGACTGCAGTTTGTGCATGCTAACTTCACAAATGGCAGTTTAAAGAGATCGTTTATGTTACATGAATGCTATATTATAGATTATCAAAGTTTTTATTTGACTTTTTCATTCTTGAAACTGAACTGGGTATAAAACATGGCTGTCCTCTATAAAAAAAAAATAAAAAATAAAGAGAACCTGATTGATGTTGCAGTCATTTTAATGCTTCTGTGACAGCGGCAGCAGCGACCCGAGGCAACATGTCTTCAGTCCGACCGTCGGTCTGTCCATCCCATTCTCATGAACAAGATGTCTCAGGAAGGCCTTGAGAGAATTTTGTCAAATTTGACACAAATGTCCACATGTGCTCAAGGATGAACTAATTAGATTTGCTGGTTAAAGGTCACTGTGACCTCACAAAACACATATTTGGCCATAACTCAAGAAATCATACATCAATCAATCATCTTATTATGATACAATTTCGAACAAATGTCTAATAGGCTAACATGATGAAGAAGTGACATTTTATATCCTAAAGGTCAAAGGTTAACTTCTCTGTGAATAATGTTCTGCAAAAAAACTCCTTACCTTTTATTAAATTCCTACAAAGTCTTCACTACATATATTATAATTCTGGAAACTGTAGCTTGACTGGTTGGCAGAGGCATACAACCACGAATCGGTAATTCTACTTAAATCAAGTCTCAATGTCAATATATAGATTTATTCATTCATCACAAAATGTAAGAGTTATTCTTGTCTTATTTCAGTTAAATGGAAAAGGAAGTGAAGTGTAGGCTATTACTATAACAAATGAAAAGCTTATAATTCTACTGAGTACCCTCCCAGACGATGTGTACACAATGTCATTTGATTCAGTTCAACTAAAATATCCATATGGTGTCAGTTTTTCACGACTGGCTCATCTGTCTTTCAGCAAATATTGTCCTTTATGAAAAGCAAGGCATAAATATGTCTTTTTTTTACATTAACACCTCTAACTAACAGCGGTGATTCACTGGGAATGCATTTAGTCTGACAATAATACACTGCTACACAGTGCTATTTAGTTATCTTAAAAAAATTTAAAAAAGAAGAAAAGAATCCCCAGGTAGTAGAAGAATTTTATAGCAAAATGTAAGTACATGAACAGGTTTGCTCCATAATGAATCATCTCAAATTGAATCAAACAAACCACTTCTACACATCTGTTCTGTGCAAAAGCCCACTGAAAACAAATCATATTTTTATTTTCCTCCGTGTTTTAGAGATAGCAAATGAAGAAAGAGGTTTCATATGAATTAAATACAGGGTGTTCTGGCAATAAACTCTTTGACTTCATTGTTTTGACTTCCTCAAAACAACAGCATTAAGTGAGATAACAGCACAAAAATGGAACCGCAAGCAGCAAATATCTTTCACGTGCAATGAAAATATAGCTCACTCTTAATTTATGCAGTTCATGTGAGTAGTTTTAGGGAAACTAATACCAAATATGTTTAGAATAAACATACAGCGGTGAAGACATACAGCTGGAGCTATAACCTCAGAAGAGACTCGTTTCACTTGATTCCAGGACTTTAGGGAGCGGCACCTGCAAGCAGTGACAAAGAGAAAGAATAAAAAGGTTTGTTTGTGGCTTTCTTGTGCAGTACATGCAGTCTCAAATCATTACAGATAATACTAGTTAAGCAATTGACAACATTTACAGTGATTGGGATAATAAATGCTCTTGTGTTTTGAGCTTTAACGGTGTCAGTATAAAAAAAAATTGAAATTTAGCTCCTAAATTCATTGATCTCTCAGTACTAACTCTTAGATACTCACAGGTTTGAGATAGGCTACGTTGCTCTTTTTAATCTCACTTAGGAGCTGATCACGTGGCGTGAGCTCAACTTTTGGTGGCACTCGTCTGCGAGGGACGGGCTTCAAAGTCTTAATCACAGCAGTCAGGTTGGGTTTCTCATCCGTCATCTCTCGACTGCTTGCATCCTTCACATTGGAAGTCTTCCTCAGTTGGAACCTCTCTGGTCTCCTGTCATCCCTTGGGTCCAGCTCCAGAAACGGGTCACGTTTCTTGGGCGTCCTCTTCAGCTGGACGTCCCTTAGTGAATTTGCTGGTTCGGCACTGGATTGTTTGGGAATTCTTTTATGTTTGAGCTGCATCTGAGGCTCTGGCTGCTCTGTCTGGTGCTGCGTTTCAGGCAAAGCGCTCAGGTCTGTCGAGGGTGGGACAAGCCCATGCTCCTGCAAGAGTTCTAGGGGCGGTATGTACCCCAGCATCTGAAGTAAACCAGGAGGCAGGTTTAGGGTGCTCTCATACATCTGCATCAGCTCCTTTTGCTCCTTCAATTGCTGCTGTTTCTGCTCCTCCTTCCTCACCTGCCTCTGACGGTCGAGATTCCTGGTTAAAATATTGGTCACCACCATCCTGGGCCCTGGCAGCTCAAAGTGGTAGCCCATCTTCAAAAGGGTGTTGTTGGCCTTGATCAGACGTGAGATCTCCATCTCTGCATGGTGACCCAGCATGTGCCTCTGGTTGTGAAATCGCAGCTCTGTGAGAGTCTCATTGAATTGGAGGCAGCGGATGATGGCTACGATGCCCTTTCCTGTTACGAAATTAGACTCAATATTCAAAGTCGTAATGCTGCGATTCTCTCGCAACATGTTGGCCAGGTTGAACGCTATGTTTTCATCGACACCGGTGTTGGCTATACTGAAAGTTTTCACATGTTTATTCTTCTTCAAGGCGTTGACGTAGTCCAAGAGCATCTCTTTGGGAATGTTTTCTATATTGTTGAGGTTCACCTCAGTGACAGAGGGGTGGTTGTTGCGGATCTTGTCAAGTGTCGAATCCAAGTTTGTCTCATTTCCTGAAGGTCTTGATGTCATTTTTATATTATTGAGTGCCAGCTTTGGAATCTTTAATTTGTTAATTTTTCTCTCTTCTTTCTGTGGGAGCTTATCACTGCTTTCATTTATCTCTGTCTCCTCTGGAGTATCTTTGGGAGGCAAAGAGTCTGTCATTTTAATTTCCTCTTTCTCTTCAACATGTGATGTGCTGTGTTTGGGAGCTGAGCTCTCGGCCTTCTCTTCTACGTCTGAAAAAGGCTGATTGCCATCTGTATTATTTTCTGTAACTGTTTCTGTGTTGTTATCCAGAGGACGTACATGTTTGTCAGTATTTTCAGATTCATCTGTATTCACAGGCAGCTTCACCTCTCGCTCATCTTTCTCATCCACCTCTTTGTCCATCTCATCCCTCTCATCGACCTCTTCAACAATTTCCTCAATTATCTCCTCTATAATTTCCTCTCCATCTGCACCATCCACCGCTTCTTCCACAATGATTTCTTCTATCACTTCATACTCTTCATATTTCACAGTTTCTTCTTCTTCTTCTTTCTTTTCAGCTTCCTCCCTCAAAGTTTTCTAATGAAAACAATAAACCAGAACATCAAGATTAGAACCATGCTACTCCAAACACAAGACTTTACTCATGGTAACATTTCACATTATAATTTTCATAGTTTCTAAAGTTTATGTTTGATATTCTAGATTGACCTTTAATGAACCTTTAAGATCTTAGTCTCTTACCTCACTAGGCAGTAGAGTGGCAGGCACTCTTTCTTCCTCGAGCATGCGTTTGGACTCTTTCTCCCAGTAAAGGTAATCAACCAGGGATCTGTGGTCAAACGTCCCCGTCGGAGTCTTTTCTGTCTGGTCCTTCTGTCTCTGTCCAACCGGTACACTCTCATCTGGGGCAATAATAACATCCATCTCACTCTGAAGCTCCTTAAGCTCCTCAGGCGAAAGCATAGCAAGGAGCTCATCCTCATCAATGTCTTCCTCATTGAGATCATCAATGTCCCTGCTGTTTGACATATTTGCGTTCCGTAGTTTCTTTGCTTCTGCTGATATCAAAAAGGATGGATCAATGTTTGTCCAGTCTATGACTCAGGAGAGAGCAAACTGGGAAGCCTCCGACTGTGACTTCAGCTAGAAACGGTTTGCCCCTGCCTCATGCGGAGTCTAAAATTAAACCCTGTGAACTGCATGGAAGATATTTAAGGTACAAGCAGGGGAAAGACATGCTAACATTCTTTTTTCAGCGCCTTCTCCCAGCTGGCCTGGCCGTCAGGATCTTTTGGGATGACAGTTGCTTCAGTCACTATTGACAGCAGCAGGTGGACCATTTTCACAGGCCTGGTGGGAGGGGTAGACTCTCCACTGCACACTGAACTCTTCCCAGAGCTCTCCAGAAGACATAACCTCTGAAGTGCTGCACAACAACAAACACATGAGCCAGAGGAGATGGTTTGTCTTCAGGGGAATAGATACTCACAGTTTGAGAGAAGACGCCTCCTCTGTCTGACATTTTAGATTATAACTCAAAGCAAAGTTTCATATATGGCCTGCGATAAAACTCAAGTTTTATTTATATAATAAATAGAAAACTTTAATGGAGTAGTTTGACACAGCATGAAGACTGGATAATCCAGCATAAATACATGGAAACCCAAGGCTGGCTCTTTCCAGTGATAACAAAATCAGCCTACCAGTATCTCAAAAGCTCACTTATTCACTTTTCATATCTCATTTGTGTGTAAAGATTTGTGGTTAAACAGTTATGGTTTAATTTCCTGGTGCAGAGCCAGACTGCTTCCCAACTTCCAGCTCACCAGCTGGCTGTAGTCTCATATTTAATAGATATTAGAGTTCTGTTGATCTTCACGTCTAATGCTCAGCAATAAAGAAATTTCCCAAAATATCAAACTATTCCTTTAAAAGGTTACTCAATTACTAAATAGCAGAACCTGTTGTTTACCACCCACCCACACACACCTCTTAAAGAAAGTGACAACAACTATCTATGTGTCACACATGTATTTATTCACATCCTTGTTCCCAGTGGAAAATATTATATGACGACATCTAACAACATGTAACTACACACTGACTGTACAAATATGTGAGAAAACAAATAACGAGACATGAATATGGTTTTTTTTTTTTTTTTTACGGCAGTGGTCTTCTGTAAATATAAAAAGAAGTTCTTATCAAAAGATCAATGTTCTCACCATGCATTTTTAAAACACAATACGGCACCAACAAGGACAAATGATTCTATAAACAATATTGACATAATACATTCTGATCCAAAGTTTAAAGAAAGGAAGAAATGGAAATTCATCAAATACACAGTCTGCTCTAATGATGATCAAATCGGTTCTTGTCATGTCACATTAGTGAACATTTCAAGCTTCGTTTTCAATTCGGATGTTGTATTTATGAATACTTTTTATCATATTTTGCTGACATGAAAGTGGTGAAAATCATTTTATTCTATAACCTACTGTTTTGTATAAGGCAGTAGCTAGTTCCTGTTAAAATACATGGAGTTGGGTTTGGTAAAAACACACGTTGCCTCATCTGTTTTCATCTTTGATACACAATATCGTTTGTGCAACATCTTAAAGTTATTTTGACACATTCTCATCTGCCTGTACAATTCATCCAATCCAAGGCACATGGGAAAGTCATTCAAGAGTGTCATCACTGTGTTCAGAGGTTACTTTAAACATGAGGACAGCGTACACCTAGACTCTGCCACTTGCCACTCCCCCTAGATGGAGTTATGGCAGCCAAAAAGTTTGTGTACAGCTTGTGTTTCAACTTCATCCCCTTCATGTGCTGCTGGCCATGGCTTTATTTGTGCCAAAATTTTGGTTTGGTCCTCTTCAGTGGATGCTCATGTAGCTTCCGTCCAGGTGAAATCTGTCCAACAAGTGACACAAAAATATGTCAAATATATTGTAATTCAACCGGTTGAGAACAAGGAGCACACGACCGAACCTTGTGATAAAACGGAGGAATGGAAATGAAAATGCAATAAACCAAAGAGTCCACATCACTTTGTGAGGATGTACAGCATGAGCTTCATGGACTAAACGGAAACTTCCTACTTGGCAGCTGGTCAATATCTCAACAACTAATGGATAGATAACCAGGAAATTTGGTTCAAACATTCATCGCCCTAAAAAGATGAAGACTGCCAACTTCAGTGACTTTTCCTCCTCAAGGTTGAAATTTTCAATTTTTAGTAAAATGTCTTAACAACTATTGGATGAATTACCATGAATATTTGCAGGGGCATTAATGTTCGCCTCAGGCTGAATTGTAATAACTCAAGTGATGCCCTTAATTTTGCCATCATCAAGTCAAAATTTTAATTTGTCAAATTTTTTTGTTTTATGACCAAATATCTGCAGAACAAATGACATTCCCAGGCAAATGTTAGCATGATAACACACATGATAAACCTTAATATGCTACCTGCTAATGTTAGCATGTAGTTCAAAGCACTTGTGCTTAAGTCCAGCCACACAGAGCTGCTAGCATGGCTCTGCTAATCATGTGATAAACACTCTCGGGTATGTCCTTGCTTTTAATATACGTCATACATCAAGATACTGACTGAAATACTTTTGAGAAAATATAAAGATGCTGTGCTTGAAGAAAAAAGAAACAGCAAACCACAATATGAACATGTGGATGATTTGATTAAATAATCTATAAAGAAGTAACACACGGATGAGGATGGGATGTCAAAATGGAGATGACTGGCAACACGACACAACACGTGACCCACTGTGTTTGGTCTCACCCTTAAGTGCTAGAATGGTTGTCTGATGGTTCATCTGTACTAGTGGCCTCATCACCAACCACCTCAACTGACTCAGAATTTTTAGGCATTGTGTCAGACACTTTGTTTTCTGGAGAAAATCTGCACACATGAGCATTAATCATGAGTCAGGACAAGAGGGAGGGAGGGAAGAGAGAGAGAGGAGATCCTCACGGTTACATTCTTTATGAGCTAAGTAGTTTCAGGTCACGTTGGCAGAATACAATGAAAAGATACAACCTTTTTATGCAAGAAGAGAGCAATACAAAGTGATCTTTCATTTACAGAGGCAGAGCAGCACGAAAAAACCAAAGCCTTGAACTGCAACAGACATGCATTAAAGGAAATGCAAGTGACACCGGCATCTGTACCTGCCACTGAGCCCTGAGCTGAATCCTCGACATAGCAACCAGCACTTTATCTTCTTCTATATTCCACTAATAACGAAACTGCAAGAACAACACTCAATTATCTGTGACTGGCTCACTTCCTCTTGCATCTACAGCTTCAGCGAACTACAGCACTCACCGGCTGTGTGTAGGACTGCGGTTGTACGGAGTGGAGTGAGCTCCAGGGTGAGGGTACTGAGGTGTGACGGGTGTATCGTACTCTGTCAGGCCGACCGCCAGCTGGTTGCGCCAGTTGCCCGTGCTCTCCACTGAGGACACTGCGAACGAGACAAAAGCAAACACACTCAGTTAATGTTGGAGTGTAACTCAGGAGTAATTGTTGTTATTGGAGACACTGTTGAATCCAGCTTCACGTCACTATTGCAAAACAAACACCCCTCGCATGAAATGGCAATATATACATTACAATTAGCAACACTTGCCTGTATTTGTGTTACTCTACATTGGTGTAATTTCATATATTCATACAAATCAGAAAGGATATCATTACTAACTGGTTTTGGAAATACAGTCCCAACTTGGAAAATAGGTTAAACATTTTTTAACATGCAGAACTTGTGTGACTTGAATGTAATATTAATACATGAGAGGCACAAACTGGGACTAATTTCCTCCCACCCTTACGTTCTTGGCACCTTACGAAAGCTTTGGATGCAGGATGTAAAAGAGCCTCCACTGAAACGCGCATAAATAAAACTGTCTTGGGTGTGTTAGCAGTTTTTTAAGGCAAGGTGGAGGAAGTCACACTGAGGGAGGACAACATAACTCAAGTGAACAAATTAAATGTGGAAATAAAATAGCATCGCTGGCAGGATGCGTACACATCACACAGACCCTGCTGGCTGATATGTATTATGTAAGAAACAACTAAAAGCAGACTGATATGAAAATATATCCAACACTAGTTTAGAAGAACAAAAACTGTTTTTACTTCCTATGTCTTCCTAATTTTTTTCAAACAGCTCAAGGATATTGTCTCACCTGAGGAGAAGGAGGTGGTTCTGCTGGAGTGGCTGAAGGCCGCTGGCATGGTCTGGTAGCCCAGGCTGAGCTGAGAGCCGCTGTCGAAGTCATATCCAGCCAGCATCCCCCTCCCTCCATCCCTGTGGCCCCTGCTCCGGTGATACCAGCCTCTCAGATGCTCTGCCACCAGGGCCTTCTGCATGTTCTTGGCCAAGAGCTCATTTCTGGGCCCCTCTCTGTTCCGCGGTGGCCTCACTGTCGCGTAGGGATTCTGGGACAGACTATCTGCCCGGTCACTGCTATAGTGCCTGAATCTGTCATGTCCATGATACCCATTTATTTGGTAGGAAGGGTTGACGTTGTAGTGGCCTTCGACTTCATTCTCATACACGTAGGCACCGTTAGCGAAAGGCTCGATGTCCGAGCAGGGGTAATCGGTGACGTAGTAGGGACTAGGTGCATAGTGTGCTGAGGCGTCACATGAATAACTACAACCAGAATGGTGCTGGACCAAGTTGGGCATACTCCCGGTATTTCCATACACTTCCACCTTCCTGTGGAGACGATGCATGGTTGAGGTGCGGGAGTCCAGAGTACTGTAGTGGGAGTTGGCTGCCCCGCAGTAGTCCAGACTGGACTGACTAGTGTAGGAGGAGCAGTCCTCTAACACCTCTGTGCTGTTGCTGCGGTGGGCCTGTGACAAGATAAACACTGGCTTTTCCGAGTCTGTGTCTTTTCTCAGTCGAGGTTGTGACTCCAGACTTCCGCTGCGATGCCTGAAGCAATGAGGAGACCCCTCCGACCTGGAGAAGGGACACAACTTTTAAACCGTTTCTTAAAAGAATAAAATCAGTTATAAGATATTATTTCCAGATTTGTTAGTAAAATATGGGTTAGAAGTTTGTATGAGAGCTTTAGTTAAAGGTTGTGCACAAGCAGGGAGTGGGTTGGAGTGAAGTTATTATTGAGGAGAAGGACAGATTTTGGGTTGGCAGTGCTGGGGAGAAGAGATCACACCTGAGCTGGCTGCTGCTGTAGGCATTGCGGGTCATAACCGGGGTGGGAGGCATGCTGCGTGGATCTCTAGGAGGTCTGGGAAGGGTTTTATAGGGACTACTGTGGGTGGAGGAGACCTCTCTTGGATTCTGGTAGTAGTGGGAAGCCTCCTGACCTTCAAAAGCTAATCTAAAAGGGTGTGGTATTGGGAGAGGATCACAAAAAAAAAAGAAAAAAAAAAGAAAAAAAAAAAGGGATGAGACTTGAGGTAAGGAATGAGGATGCAAACATGACACAACATATATTATGGATTCTGCCAAAACATGATATCACTGCTTCATTCCAAGAACACGTAAGCTTTAAATAAAATGTAAAGTTGTGAAACAAGTTCTGCTTTCCATAAGACCTCATGGGAACCGTTTCCCCACCTGCTGTGGTTCTTGTTATTGTGATTTTCCCTCGGAGATGCCTGTCTATCCAGATCATATTCTGCCCCCAGCGATCGCATTGGACTAAGCTGAGGGGAAACTTGGACTGACCGTGAGCGTGGCCTCTGGCTGACGCCGTCTGAGTCATCTGAATACAAAAGGCAAAACAGAGTAAAAATTCTGAAACACTGTATTTGAATAACAGCCATTTGAAAAATTAGTACGGCAGGTCAGATGATTTTAATGCACCAGAATGTGTGCTGTCTGACTCACCATCATCCAGTGGGAGACTAGACAGGGAGCTACAGTCTGAACGGACGAGTTCATCTGGTGAAGCAGAAAATAATTCCATGTTTATTATGAATATAGCTAAATGATTAATGCAGGAACACAGGTCAACGTGCACCATACCTGCAATGATTACTGAGGCCCGCTGCGTGGGCTTTTTTCCCTTCTTGATTCTGTACTGGTTCATCTCATCCTCTATCTGCTGGAGTTTGTGCATGGCATCCAAACAGTTTCTTCTCCTCTTCTTCTTGACTGTTTTGCACAATTCTGGCTCATTTGCAAGTTTCTTAGCCGCCTCCACAATCTTTTGCTGCAGGGCAAATCTGCTCTCCAGGTTCCTCAGGAAAGGATCCTGCACAGACCACAAGCAGCACGTCCCCAGAGATACCAATAAGTTATAAGTTCAGCTACACATCAGGAAATCAGGAAATAACCTAATCATTATCTGATTTCCCTATTAATTTAAAATGCATAACAAACTATATCTAATTAAGTCTTCGTGTCATGTGGACCCTTATTTAAAATCAATTCTTAAATAAGCTGCAAATGCAATACTGTCATATTCTGCAAATTAGCAGCTGACTGAGCTAATGTTGGCTATGTAGCGATAGGCAAACTTAAAAATAGCTCTTTTAAAAATGGGTCAAGAATCTATAGTTTCTTTTTTTAAAAAAGGCTACAACTGCTGAGCGCTGTACTTTTAAGCAAACATTTCTCAAACAGGAGTAATTAGTTGTTGTTTTTTTCATCTACTAAGTAAATATTTGCACCAACAGAATGGTGCCTGTGGGATTGACTCAAAATAAACTACAGTGCCCATGTTCATCAAATCAATGATTTTGGACAACAGAAGATGTCTATTAACTACTTGCTGTTTGTGATCTTTACATGGGTTTTGTTGACAACAATTAAAAAAACGGGAAAAAATTGGAATTAGCCGCATCAACTTCAACATAAATAGAACAAACAGTGTGAGACACACACACAAAAAAAAAAAAAAAAAATCAGGCAGGAATTGCTGCTGCATTTTGATCTAAGAGCACCATCAAATACAGACCTCATTGTAGGGGAACAGGTCATCTAACTTGAAAGCAGTGCCGACTCGCCGTCTGACCTGTGGCGGTCTTTCACCTGAGGAGAGTGGATACTCTTTTGGCAGCTTGCCAGTAAGCTCCTGAAAACACAAAACAACAAGTCCCCTTGACAATGAAATGAACTGAGAGTAACAGCAGAAACCATTACTCTACCGACCACACAACAAGACAGTTTAATAAAGGGAGTTCAGCAGACTGAATGTGGCTATTTACAAAAAAAGAAAAAAAGAAAAAAGAAGACTTATATGTGCCTTGCAAAATGTAGTACCAGTGCAAAGGGAAGTGTATATAAAATGATTCCTCACCGCCTCTCGCAGGCAAATCTTTTTCAGTTCTTTTGTTTTCTTGGCCAAAATATCTTGGATCTCTTGTTCTTTTTTTCTCAGCTCGGAGAGTTTCTCTTTCTTCTGTTCCTCACTCATTTCAGAGTCTGCAGAACCTGCGAAAACAGTATTCTGACTGTTTATATCCTCATATCCAAAAAATGCCATCCATGTTACTCTTCAACTTGTCATTTTTTTTTTTATTCACAAACAGCTCATCGTTTATGTTTTACAGCTCAGTCGGAGACAGTTGTGAGCACAAATATGATCTGAAATAATAGCTTAATGCAGACCTGCTGCATGAACTGAAACAATTAGAACAAACCTGTAGATACCAGGCTCCCATTGCTGGCTGTTATGAAGTTATTCTTTAGGCCTGTGTCTCCCAGTCTGTTCATTTTTGCTCCTCCGTGCTCCGTGAGATCCATGGCGATTTCCTCCAAACTCCTTGCTGTTCCTAATTTAGCCTGAAAAAACAAAGAATATTGTGTAAAACAAAGATTAGCAGATGTGTAACTCAGTATTTAAAATAACAGGCAGTAACTGATGACTGACACTTACTTTGCTTTGCTTTCTGTCCAAGTAAAACTGGTGCTGGCTAATAGCCATGACCCAAATGGTTTTGATCAGAGAATGGCTGGCATACCATGTGTGGATAAGTAGCCCTGTCTGCCCAAAGGTGCGCTTGGTTACTGCTCTCCTGTTGCAGGGAACACACCACAAAAGAAATCTGAGGTTGATGTTACAGTTTTTGCCATATCTAATATAAAAGCTACAATGAAATGAATGATAGTGAAAAGATAGATCAGTCAGGGGTTAAACAAACATGAAAACAGAACAGTCAACTTGTACAAATAGATGAAGAATCACAAAGAGGAATCTCTCCCGCTACTCACCTGTGTGGATCATTAACTTCTACAGCAAATTTTTTTTCTCTGAAGTACAAGTTTTCCAGCTGCTTCCACTGGTATAGCTGGAGGTAAACACGGAGCAATAACAATATCTAGTTAGGGGACTTGATATTATTCTGGGTGATTCACATGATATATACAGAGACAAAAGGTGGTGCAACACCAGGAAATAACGGCTTTAAAATGTGTCCATTTGTACCTTCAGTCCAGGTGAATATTCACGTACCATTTCTAAAAATCATCTAAAATCTCGACTGACATCAAATAAACTATTACAAAAGTAGTGCAGGTGTTCTGGCCTGTTTCAACCACAGTCATTAAAGAAAGCCAACATGCACTGTCATTAGAGTCTGGGCCGCCTGGCATGCCAAGTCTGCAATAATGCAGGTGTTAAAGAGAGAAGAATACCACAAGGGGACATTACACAAAGACTCATCGCGGTATAAAACACCTTCCATGGCTCATCATGTTCCGTAACACCCAGGTGCTCACTGACAACAGCCAGATATGAACAGTCTGTTAGGGCAAATGACTCACTGTATGTCTGGACAAGATCCGAATGAGACACAAAGTTGAACACACAGCACACAGAAAATGATATTACACGTGGCTGCTGTGAGGGGTATTTTGGATCACATTCAGTAACAAGTTTAAAGAGGCTAACATTCACCCAGTTTTACTTTAAAAATGACCATTTTATAGATTGTTTTATTCAACATGCAAATTAGTAAATGTCCCAAAAAAAAGGAACTAAAGCTCAGTCTAATGCAGTCTGACTTCCAAAATTAACCAGACAAAGAAGTTTAGTATCCAGTCTTACCAGCACAATGGGTGTTCACAAGTCCCACAAGTTTGTTAAGTTATTAAATCCTCCCCGTCTTTGCTGTCAACTCACAAACACACACACATACTTTGTTCTGTCTCCTGTCAGCTCCTGACTTGTCTCCTCAGGTATTCTCAGAACATGCAGGGTGACGCCCAAATCCAGCCCCTCTCCCTTTGACATCACCAGCACACTCCCTCTTCTCCTCTCCCAAACTCACAGCTGGCTGCTGCTTGCACAATTTTGAAATTCAGCAGACAAGCATGTTCAGTGATTGTCAGGCTTCTAACAGGAAGACAATGCCAGTAAATGAATGAGAGTTGTTATGAACTTTCACCTCTTTTTTCATTTTTTATTTTAATCACAGCACTGCATGTCTGCACCCATTGACTAGACAACATAGCTTACAGATCACTCACATGGGTGTCCCTCCTATTAATTCACAAGCTAACAACAGTGGAACAGGAAAGGCAGGTTCATACTGAATGTATGATTCTCAGGGACTAAACTCATCAGTCTCATTAAGGTGAAGTGCTAGAGGTCTGACTGAGATTTTGCCACAACTTTTCAAGTCTGGCCTCGTCTGCAGCAGCTAAAGCCCAGCCTTTGTTGGAGTGAAGTAGATGATGCATGAATAAGAGCTGGTGAATCAACACGCTATGTGCAACAGCGGGAATCCTTACCCCATGCCCTGTGCTATCATGTCCACAGTCGGATTAGTGAAGCAGAGAAACAGCAGCAGCCATTTTGGAGAGCGAGCTGCAGGAAATGTTTACCTTTCGAGGTTTTAATTTATCCTGCAGGTCGTACTGGCCGATGCCCTTATAGCTGATTCCAAGCCACCATGGGATCCCTTGTTTATCCTGTGAGGCAAGAGCACAGCTGATATGGCTGACTCAGTTTCAGGCGTAACAGCTGTCATTTTGCATTGATCACAGCAGAGGACCTACCTTAACTTCATAATAGTGCACGCCGTACGTGGGCAAGGATTCCACTAATGTCAAATACCTAGAGCGAGAGCAAAGCTTTATCAAAACCACAAGCTGCTATTTCAACATCCACATGTGGTTTACCTTGGAAGTGTGATGATAGCCCTGGGAATTTGATATCTGTCCAGAGAATCAGTGTGACTCATTGTACTGCAACTGAAGAGGCGCTATTGATTTCTATCAGCTGATAAGAAAGGGTATGCCAAAGAGAGAGAGGGTCGTGCTAATGGAGGTGAAAGGAAGATGAATGAACTTAAAGCTTAGTAACATTCACTGTCTAATTACACAAATTTTTCAGTACTTACTGCACAATGGCTTGTCCTCGGGACAACCCTTTCAGCTGTTTATAATATTCAATTACTCGATCCTCACTGCAATGGCACATAAAGAAGACGCCCATTTACTCTTTAAACAGGTGCATATTATCAGATTAAGCAATTCTATTGTTGGTTAAATGATTATAACGGAGTGAAAACTTTCACTTAACCTCAAATAAAAAACAAAAGCAAGAAGAGTGAATGTTTTTCAGGTCAAGGCTAGAGGACTGCATGATGTACAACGTGAAGGCATTTCAGACTTCAAATAAGCATTTCCTGTAAGCGTACCAGTATGCAAGTGATGGGTGTTCCTTGAGTACTTTGGTGGGAAGAGTTGGTAGCTTCTTCAACTCAGCTCGAGTGTTTTCATCACTGAAACAGAAATTAAAGTTCTGATAACAGTCTATAAGACTACTTAACTGCACTTCCTGGATTTACTCAAGGTACTTCTAATTTATTTCAATATTCACCTACTTCACACTCCACAACATATCAGAAGTAAAGCTTTGACGTTTTGCAATAAAGCATATCTGAGGTTCATAAAATATGATAAACTGTAAAGAATAACTACACAACAGTAGTTAAAATTAGCAACATCTATAACATTACTATGCTCCTTAAACATTTATGCAAAAGTAATATCAATCTATTAATAACATAACACTTAAAGGGCCACTCTGCATAAGGAGCACTTTTACTTTTTGCTACTTTAAGTACATTTGGCTTGTAAAACGTATATACTTTTATTTCAGTAAAATTTGTATTCTTAATTAGTGTATTCTTACACTGTAGTACTGTGACTTGTTTGAATAAAGTATCTGAATACTTCTCCCATCATGGTCATTTAGACTTTGTATACATTTTATTTTCCAACGTGAGTATCTACATTCCGTTTCAAAATACTGACTCCTTATTTTTTATTTTTCTACAAGTGGTAAAATTTAAACACACTGAGTCTAAAAAAAAATGGAATGAGCCAATACAAGTAGGTTTTTAAATTGTATATAAGCTCCCCTCAAGTTGCTTAAATCCCTCCAACAAGACATGACCTCAGTGTCCTCCACACTTAGCAGCTACAGTGATTATAAAGACTTTACTCTCATATTCTCAAACCATCTCACAGACCAGCTGCTGGCTGAAGCCAGGTGGGGACCTACACAAAGACCTGCAGTATTTCATCAGAACACTACAAGCATATAATATTGAAAGGCATCTCTGTTAGCTGTTAACTACAGCTAAAAGCTGCTCTCTGCAGTGTAAAGGTGTCTCTGCTCTGGTGCTTGGCTTCTATCAGCACTGTGAGATTCATTAGTTGCCTGGTGCAAGCTGCTCAGCACTCTGCGTTAAGCCCCACATAACACTGCTATTGATTTTGTTGTCTGCATTGAAATAAGTGACCTATTGAATGTCTTGGCTAAAAGCTCACTACTAACTGCTGTTAAATACTTTGTACCCAGATGATAATGCGCTCTTACCTTGTGTAGTCTCCCTTAGCCTCCTGGTGATTAAAAACAAGAACATCTTATTAGATTGCATGCTTTTAGATGCAGCAAATTAATGTATGCATATGTGGCTATTAAAAGCACTAACCTGCAAAGCATTTGCAGCTAATTTGAAGACGTTTTCACTTTCCACTTCAATGATCCCCTGAGAGAAATAATAAAACAACAGGATAAAAAATAAATAGGATGCAGAAAATGAGGTCTATGTGGAGAAAGCTTTCTATATCCAAACATAGAATCTTCTCTGTGCTGCCCTACAATAACCTCTCGAAATGAACCCTTGTGTTTTTCTACTTTCTTAGACTGTCTGCTTTACATTCCAGCCGGCAGAGTGAGAAAACTGTGCCCTGCAGCCACTGTGTGCTGAGCTGTGAGGTGCTGCAAGGGTCCAGAGACAGTGAATCATCCGGAAGCTGCTGAGAAAAAAAAAACACATCTATGGCAGGATCATTTCTCATTGCTTCAAACCACAGAAAAAAACAAGAGAAAAACACTCACATTGTAGACAGCAGATTTCGCATTCAGGAAGAATAACTCCACCGTTATGATGTCCTTCAGCTGCGTTATGTTCTCTACATAAAACCTGCGACGGGAAAAAAGCAGATGCATACACAACAAATTTAGGGTGAAACCCGAGATAACTTGTCACTTTGATGTTGCTGCACATAGGAAATCCTACATTTCCAATACTCTCTGTCAAGTGCTTGCTTTGGTGAGCAGTGTGAGGTGAGAGTGATGTGCAAAGGCCTGACAACCACCAGCTGGAGACATTGATATTTATTTTTCAAGACAATCAGAGTAGGAATATTTTACCACAGAACTACCCTGGACATAGTACATGTCAGCAAAGTAGCGCTCCCTGCTGGAGAGCTTGTGCTTTGCACAAGGGGATGAATTATTACCTGACCAGGAAGTTGAGGGCAATGGGCCCGGGCTTCTTCGAAAAGTCATGTTCAAGAACTCTGCGGTCCATCTGCAACCACTTACGCTGACCACTGCAATAGCAAACAGACTGACGTGTCAGAAAGCTGCTTTTTGTACACATCTGTGCGCACACACGCACACACACATACACACATACATTTATGGACATCTGTAAATATTCAAACCACTGGAAAAATAAATGGAACAATTTACATACTTGTCATCAAAAAATGCGAGTCCAAAGAATTCCTTTTCTTTGAGGTTGAAGTGGGAGGACACCAAGTCGAGGAGTTCGTACGACAGCAGCTTCGGCTGTGAAGGAAGATTTAGATTTAATGGGAAACTGACCGTAATCAGAACTATCAGGTAAACATCCCTACTAAAATCATTCAGACAATTTCCTTGATAAATGTCTCACGGATAAATGTTTGGTCTGTTGTTTCCTTTCTTCCCAAGAGAAGTCAGACTGAGAGGTCAACTAGAGGGCAGAATGGGACTGGCACTGACACTTTCAACAGTGCACATACTCAGGTGCTAAATCCAGGTCGTACTGCTGCAGATGTGTTCTTCCTGCTCAATGATTTAACCTGCTTCATGATCATACATTTTGAGGGAACGTGATGGAGGAAATAATACTTCCCTAAAAACCCTTTTCACAACTTTTGAAATACATTTCCACAGAAAACATACCACATTAGTCATTACAGAACAGAAAAAATCTGTATTACATTTCTATACCTGCACTACCTGATTTTTTGGCCACTTGGGCACAGATGACAAAAGTAACCTCAGTTGGGAGCAAAATGATCATTTTTTTGGAGCATGTTTCCGTTCACCTGCCAGATTCAATTCTAATATTCATCCATCTTTTAACTCCGGTTTGGTCTCCACCAACTCCAGAGGAAAATATCTGGCTCTTCACCAGCTAGTAAATAACTTTCTTCTGTTTGATGCTGAGTAGGTAGTATACAGTGGGTTTTTATGGCTTTTACAATGAAAACAGCTGCCGCGTGCAAAATAATGAAACACTCCATCGAGTTGAGGGGAACTGCAAAGTCAGCTGATAATTCGGTATCTGTGATTCGTCATCACAAGTGATACCTTTCACATTACACATAGTCATTGAATCCATTGTTAGTATAAAAATAGTAATTGTAGCCACTTTAAGTCAAGAGCATTCGTACCTGAACCAGCAGCTCCAGCTTCCTGTCATCCAGCAGCTGCACTTGGCACAGCCTGCCCTCAGTCATCTGCAGGGGGACAGAAAAGAGGAAGCTCAAGGCTTGTGACCCAGATTGCAAACGATTCATCATCACAAGGGACAGTGACATAAGGATCTTGTGTATTACTAATGTTTTTACCATAGTGGCAGTACATCATACACCACTTTTCCTATTTCTACAACATCTAGAAACAAGAAAATAAAGAGTTGAGAGAAAGTCTTTTTTTTTTTTTTTATAAACAGTTGCCATATTGACTATCAGCAGTCAAACAGAGCAAAGGCCTTGGTGGTAAATACAGTGATCCTTTTCATGGAAAAAAAAAAGCACTGACGTTGTTAATGACAATAAAACCATTGTCTTAAGGATTTGTTGCCATAGCAACCAAAGGAAGGATTTCTTCCATTTCGAATCTTTTGCATTTAACTTTTGCTCTTTCAGTCTCTCAGCTGTTCCAGCATTTGATAAACAAACATCCAGTGGTGGAAAGTAACTAAGTACTTAAGTATAGTTTTGAGGTTCTTAAACTTCACTTGCACATTTCCACACGAAATGTAAGTGTATAAGTATAGGCCTAAAGATGAAACTATCCAACAATATATAATTTATACAATATATAAACGTAAAGATGTTCAATTAGCTTCATCTCCACCAGCTGCTCTGATGTGAATTTAACCATAACAGTTAAATGACATAATACGTAATAACAGAACGTTTTCAGGGGTATTTTTCTGCTCCGACTACTTTTACTTTGATATAATAACATTTTTCTGATAATTACTGTTGTATTGTTATCTGAATACTGCAAAAATATTCATGGTTTTCCAGTGTTTCACCTTAAACAATGAAACATTTGTGCATCTCGTTCCATCCAGCAAGCAACTTTTTATAGCAGTAAGCCACAGCTTCATATCAGATTCTGACTAAACTCTGCATCCATTAAATTCAGTGCTCTGGTACTCGTGCCCACATGATAAGATCATGTTTGTTTGCTTGTGCGAGATCATTTTAACCACAATGCCCTTCAAAAAAAGCTTCTTGTGATGTCAGAGTCAGGCTGACCTACTGGGAGACACTGAGAGCACCATTTACTCCATAAATCAAATAGCCGGTAAAAATGACAGATTGAGGTTAACCAGTTTTACAACAAAACCTGCACACAAACTGAAAAAAAAGCACTCTGAACACATCCAACAGCCTTCTCATCTGACAGAATGAGGCTGATCACAACTTCTAACACTTGGACTGAGTGAACTGAGCAGCTGCGGTACCTGGTAAACCTCTCCAGGGAGAGTGCAGGTGTGGATGCATCCCTGACCAGACTTCATCCTTTAATAAGAGTCTCCTCTTGGATCCAGACCATGAAATTGTTAGCTCCAACTGAGCAGCACCAGACAAATCAAGATTAACCAGCGACGTCCACCCAGGTTATTGACCGACTGACTGACTAAGCAGCCAGGCCTTTGCTGTGTGCGGTGACGGCTTATAGAGTGTGGCCAGTTCACGAGAAATCAGCAGCTGACTTAATGAGAGCTGACTGGGTCAGACTCCTGACCATTGTTTAGGGTTTACAGCTTATTAATATGAACAATATAGGTCAGACAAGAAACATAAGTGGTTAATATGAGGCAGTTAAGCATGCCTATAATGTCTGCTGATAGTTTAATTTACTTTGCCCTCTTTTCACTAGTGTGCTGTTCTGCGGCTGAATGGATCTGAATCTGGATATCAGGTTTCTCTTGCTTCCTCTTGCTGAAATTTTAACTGAGTGATGTTATTTGATTATAGATGCAAGAGAGATTTCCACTAAAGTGACTGAAACAACTCATTTTGAAACAAGACATTTTACTTTGCACATACTTTCTCATTGATTCTTTCCTTGCACTGCACTAATAAATGATTACGCAAACTGCCCTGCTTCCTGAAAGCGACTGAGCACACCCTGTCACTCCTTTAAATTACAGCATCTGTATTATTTTAATGAGCACTTTGTCAATTACAGCCCCTGAATAATGTGTCTTTCTTATCGCCGCCATAAATTTTTCTTCCATGATCTAAATTAAAAGTGCACATTCAATAAATCCAATTAATTTGGAGTGTGGCTACTCCTGACAATCACAAAGAGTATTATTACATTGATTTGAGCTCGATTTGGATATGACTGCATCATGGTGGGGTCACACAATGTGTTTCTGTAACAACTGACATGTACAGTGAGGGTATTGGCCACTAGATGGTGCAGGATTATTTTCCTATGTGAAGAAGAAGTTCATATAGAGAAAATGGCCACTCAAACAAACACGCACCACTGAGGAATTTTCATAAGCACTTATTAGCTTAGCAGACGAGAGTCTAATTCAGCTGGGAGAGCTCGCGCTCATGCAATATAGATGAAATGAGTGGAAGGAGGAGACGTGATTTTTAGGAATCCACACCATTAATCATCTGAGAGCTATAATCACTACAAGAACTGCTATTTATATCTGGGTGAGGAGCCCAGCAACCCTGACTAACCCCACAGTGTCTCAGTAGTGACACAGAGAAGAGACTTTTATCAAATGGTACAGACAACGAGTGACAAGTGCACTGGCTGCGATTTTAAAAGTTGTGTTTTTCTCAGTAATTACAAATGCACACTGGTAATCATTTTCAACCTTCGTTCGATGTCTCAGAGCTGGTGTAGCTCATCCCAGAAAAGCAGACAGTGCTGCTTGGTCGACCAAACACAACCTAATTAACCTCAATAAAGGGCCAGCCTTGGACCCTGTGGGGTTAAGACAAGCATTGAACCTTCATGTAAAAAAAGACACGGAGGGAAAAAAAGAAAGAGCTGTCAGTCTTTGTGTTTGTCTCTCGAGAGACTGGACAGGCGCTGGTTGAGTACTGCGCCACAGGGTGCGGGTTTGGCTCCAGTCTGGAGCCTGAGGTTGGCATATAGACAGCTTCTTTTATGTGTGCTACAGTGCAACATCCCAGTTGAGCCTTGGTGAAGGTGCAGATGTGGCCTCACTGACGAAGAAACAAAGAATAACCATGTTCATTAAAATAAGATACAACCTTGTACAACGCAGAGATGTAAATCCTCCTGATGATGAGCAGGTGTTGTAAAGCAATCAATTCCTCATTTTATAATAGCTCGTTAATAGTGAAAAATAATGCAATATCAAGCTTGAAACATGTACAATGAGCTCACAGGAGAATTTCTGTCTCCTGAGTAAACTGTCTGTCAGTGTTTAATACGTCACACTGGTTAAATGTCATGTCCAGACTGCAGCCTGTCTTATCTCAGTTTCCCATTTTCATGCATTATTGATGAAGGCTGGTATCACACACAAGTCAGTTTCTGCTCCATGCTTACACGCTGTTTTGAAGACACCCGCTGCAATCGTAAAAACATGTCAATTATAATAGTTATTATGATATAAATAACACATTCCCAAACTATTTTAATTTACAATTTTGAGAAAACCTGTCCAAATTATTAGAATCCAGTATGACATATGACCCACAAAGACAAAGACAAGAAACCCAGAGAAATAAAAGTAAAAATGAGTTCCAGTGGCTACAATCAGACTTCCTAACAGGATGTGATATCCAATACATTGTGATGGTAAAGGGAAACACACCAAGTTCTGTGTTTTGAGTGCATGAGATCTTACAGTTCCTCTGTTAAAACAAAGTACAATCAGCAGATCAAGTTCTATAGCTGCACCTGATGTGTCTCTGACCTTTGTCACCTGACCGCCTGGTAACGATAGAGCGACATGCACAAGGTGTGTTAAAGACGAACTCCACCGATCGCACATCAAAGTCTGTTTGTAGGTCTTGGGGAGTATTGATGCGTAAGTAAACTAGAATGGCATTCAGTAGAGCACACACCTCCACCAAGGCAAAACAATCCTACACGTCTGTGAGATCCCGATTTTTTTTTAATCTGGATCCAGATAATGAAATTGCACTGAATTGCACAGTAAGTTCTCAACACCATCAATATGTCATATGTAGACATTATTTCCTGAAAAGTGATGAAAATGTTGAGAATGCCCTATCTCACAATGTTTAGTCAGTTAAACTGAGCTGAACTAGATAGGTACCAAAACAGAATAATAATAAACAAAATGGCCGAAGAAAAGAACATCTGCTTTGTCAACAATCCCACCAATTCCTGGATCCCCCCTTTTAACCGGATTGGCACTTTAATGAGTTCTTCCCTGGCCCATGCCTCAACCCTCCACCAAGTTTGGTGCAACTCAGTTAACCACTTTTTGTGTAATCTTGCTGACAAACCAACAAAAAGACACGGGTGAAAACATAACTTTCTTGGCAGAGGTAGTAAAAAAGTTAGGCTACATTAGCCACTACTAGCATACCCCCGAATCTCCAACTTAACTGTCAGGGGTCGATTTGCATTGTGAGTAGTGCAGGTGCCAGGTTTTGCCAAGGAAGAAGAATGCATGGCATAGCAATGACAATATCTCTGGTTGTACAGTATTGGGGGGGTTTTCTTCCTTTTTTTTTTTATTGTCCATTGTGACTAACTATAGGAGTACTCCTCCAAACACGACTTCACAGATTGACTCAAATACATAATAATTGAGCAATTGATCAAATTATAAGTCATTGTTTTGGTCTTTTTAGAGGTTCTAGTTCTACTGAAGAAATCCCACTGACTGGATGCTTCACTTGTATTTGTATTAGCAGTCCAAAAATAAAAGGCCCACATTAAAGCCTAAAGGTAAAACTAGACAGAGGAGTCCAGTCACAGAACAAAAAGCCAGCTGGTTAGAGAGACAGTGGGCTGAAGGATACAGCACAGGATTATCTCCTCACCTCATATCTCATCATGACTCATGTTGTCAGCGGTCAAAAGGTATCTGTCTACCATCATCTCCCAGAGAGAACCAGTCTGGCTGTTTGTGATATCCGGGAAATTCATGAACACAATGAGGCTCAGGATATTATGGACACATTAGAACCTGTGAGAAATATTCATTTTTGATTTTATAACGCAGTAGATGTTTGATACAACAAAGGCAGGCAGCATCACAGAGGAGTGATTTATGTGAATGATGTCATCATGCAGTACAAATTCCTATTCCCACTCTGAAAAGGAAGTCCACAGAGGCAGTAGGACATCGTGATGTATTTTTTCATGGCTGTCCAACAACTACAAGCAACATGTACCACATTATATCATTCAGCAGTGGCCAAATGTATTTCTATCGATTTCTGTATTTTAGCACCAGAAATTAACAGCGACGACTGTCAAACTTACAAACAGAGGGATTGGAGATGAAAAGTTCGCCTAACGATACAAAACATTAAATGCAAGGAAAGTAATATTCAGTGTCACCAAGATTATTTAGCAACACAACACAAATCCAACATGACCGAGACTGTGACACAGCACTACAAGCGGCCCGCATTAATAAACCAGACAAGTTACAATAGGCCTCTCCTGTTACACACAGAAAGAAAGCATACAAGCCCACACAGTAAAATTAAGGCAATTAACCATCAACACATAGACCCAAGTAGCTACTAAATATTAAAATTTGATTTGTTTTTACTCACCCATGATTTCCTGTGTGTGTTGTTGATGGGAGCGGGGCACTCATGTCTTTAGCTGTGATGCAAGCCTCACAAAACACCTTGTTTTTTGTGGTATCATAGGCTATCCAAGGGAATTTTATTTTCCAGCTAGCTTGAAAAGTCCCTCCCTTCTTTTGTCCATCTTCGTTTCTGCGGTTGTCATTATCTTCGTTATTGCTGTTAGTAGTTTCACTTGGTGTTTTTGGTTTTTTGATCATAAATTTGGTCAAATAAGTAAGTTTCTAGCCAGCCTTGCCCTACGTTGGCGCCTAATTTGACCCCGCTATGCCGCACATGTGTTGCCTTGTGCTGGATCCGGTGGGGTGCAGCTAATGCTGGGTAGATTGGATCAATCGGATGGGCGCTCTGTGATTGGTTGCCACAGGTAGGGGCAGTATGGTAGGCGGGTTGGTCCAAAACGTGTGTTTTGATGTCCGCGTTAAGACGTCAAATTTGTACGTCTAAAGATGACAGATAATGCCGTGTTAACACGCCAGTTTTTACCCTCTTAAGAAGTTTGGACCATCAATACTTCCATGCTACTGGTTGGCGGCTACATACCCACCACTTTTCGACAGAGGGGCTACGTTTTATATATACATAGGGTATACAGTCTATGTTTCGTAAGTGGGTGCTCGGCATTTTACGTGGGTGCTCGGGCCCGGAAGCACCCACGTATCGGCGCCTATGGTGTTACTAGCAGTAGAATGGCGATACATATTCAAGTGAGGAGCCTTAGTGATACAGTCACATTTAATGTTTCTGTCCCTTCTGTTCTCAAAAGAGCTGCTTGGGTCCACAGAGTTCCAGCTGCTGTCGTAAGAACTGACCTTGAGTGATTGTGACTGTGTTAAAAAGAAGAAAAGCAACATAACCAAAGAAAGGTTCAGTGGTTATATTTTCATTTTCATCATATAGTCATCCCTTTAAATACACTGCTTAGTGGCTGTGAAGCCTGAATGGTATTTGCAGAGAAATCCTCAATGTTTAAATGAGCCAAACACTCACATCAAGTTTGTTAAAAGTTCTGTATTATAGAATATATTCTATATTCTAATCTAATAGAGACTTGTCAGTCTTTGGCCAAAGTGGTGGACCACCTGATCAACAGACAGACCAATAGTTCCATCTCTACAGCAACACTGCTACAGCATGTCTAAAAGATTTAATCACATTAAAGTTTTAAACACAACAACTGAATAAGATGATATCATAATCACACATAAAGTAAATTGTTTGAACATGTTATATTTCCTACTATTTCTGGTCTAATTGGGACAGAAATTAAATATTTCAATAATACTGAGACCCCTAGAGGCTCAGTGTTCATTTCCACCTGACAATACACAAGTGGCAAACACTATACTGAATATTTTACAGCTGAGACCTTATGAGTAGTGTAAAGTTTATTCTGACATTGATACAAGTGGAGAGGACAGGTAAGGAATAAAGGTTTATTGCTTTGGAAACATGAATGTGCTCAGCATTAATCTGGCTGTAGTGTATACTCTGGTCCAAGGGTAGCTCTAGTGAAAAGCTGATTCATTGATTTTCCACAGTGGAGTCATCATCTGGGCAACATGAGTGTGCCCCCATAGTAAATTTCTCAGCAGTGCATTTATTATATTTTGATATTTCTAGTGTAAAAGTAGAAAGTGTGACCAGATGGTGGCGCTGCAGTAAAGGTCAGAAGGTCAACAAAATGATCAGAATCTGGCCAGTATTGTGTGACATGTCTCTCTTTCTACCAAAGTATCAGGTGTGACCATCGCCTTCCTGACACCCTTCAGATTAAACCAAATGATCCAAAAAGCAGAAGTTCATATTTATATTTTTATATTAATTCCCGTGTCTATGATGCATGTGTTTTATGGATCAGTCACTGTATACAGATTGATCCGGAGGTAAAACTCTCCACCATTTATAGATCTCAAAGATCAAGATTTTCGGGTTACAGATATTTTCAAAACCCCCAAACTGTCTAAATGCAGCATCTCAGTGCAGAATTTAAATCTGGTAAAAGCACACAACACCGCACAAGACTGATTCAAAACACACAGACTAGTCTGTAAGAAGTAAGCTCTTCCAATTTTGAGAGCTTTGCCACCACTTGCCCTCATTCTTACTCTTTCACAGCTGTCCCCACTGACAGTCCTGCTATCACAAACTGCAGAGTTTCATTAGAAAAAAAAAACTGCAGTGACTTTCTGCAGAGCTCAGGGACGAGGCACTGAGGCACGGACGTGAATGGGTGGAGAAAGTGGAACATGACCAAATTACATGATGTGGATGAAGAATTAGAAGAATCTGCAGCGTCTGCAGCCTGCATCCTCATACAATGACAATGCTGACTGAGATGTGATGAAGTCATACTGATTTTTAACTGAAAACAAATGTCAGGGATCAGCTGGTCTGCTGAAAGTGGTGGTTTTGATTTTCAGGCACCAGCATATGTATAAGACAAAGTTCTGACCCCAAAGCCTCACCAACCTGTCTCACTTAAGTGATGCTGCTCTTCCATAGGCTTTCACCTTATTATATATATCAGATTTATTCTCTCTGTGCTAAGTGTATGAAGACAAGATTACTTTCCTGTCCAAAAATAGATCTCTCCCTCTCCATCTTTAGCACATTTCTCACAAAGTCTCAGGAGGCTTTGATTCCTAAATGGAAGGATGCCAGCTGAGTGCTGAGACATTTCTCAGTAGCTTCAAACAGAACGAGGAACATCTCAGTCTTGTGAGACTGTCTTACTGGAGGAGCGTGTTTATGAGGCAATGCACTGAATTGTGTTTTTTTCTGATTCCGTTTGAGATGTTTAAAACCAGAAACGTGACTTTAACGACCCCGTTGCCCTTCCAAAGAGTTTGTCAGAAATGCCTCAGAAGTCGACTGTGGTGATAAATGACACAGGACATCCTCTCCGACATAGAGGAAGAGCGACAAAGTTTCACGCTGGACACGTGTGTCATTCAGATCAGACCATCACAACAGCAATTCCTGTTTACAACGTCTGATGCTTTAAATACACTCATATGTGCGTCTCTTCCTTCGACTCATGAGATAACATCAGCAGGTCAATGTCAACCTTTGCCGGGCTCATCCTTGTTTTTCTCAAGAGTAAACATTGATCCAGAACCTGCCAGAACAATAAATTAAAAGAAGGAAAAAAATGCATGGGTTAAAGAGGAGGTAACAAAGAGGGTACCTTGGCCTACCTGCACCAAAACTACAACAACTACTGTAATGTTCTTTTTAATCCTGACTAAATATGCTTGACCCAGGTCACCAAATGTCACCACAGTCATTGCCAAACCACATAGCCTACAATTACAGGGAATGCTAATAATGCACAAAAGCCATAGAAATGTCCAGTAATAAAGTAATGCTTGAACAGACATGATTCACAGTGCTGTGAAGGGTAAAATGATGATTCATCCAGGATTTCAATATTCAGCAAGTCACACTTCCTAAATCAGCTATATACTGCACGATTCATTCAGTCCACTCAAGTAGCATATAAGCTACTTTTTAACTTAAACACACATCTAACAATAGCATCTAACATTTTTCTTTATCCACTACAATCAGCAGTGTTGCCCACAGCATCCCATAATGAGACTTGCCCACCTCAGGGCCAGTTGCCACTATGCAGGGAGAACAATGAATGTGCTACAGTAGCCTTCAGTACTGTACATGGGTGGTTTCCACCTGAGCCCCATGACTAAACAGATGTGTCAAATAAAGCCACACTCCACCTTGTTTTACAGAGGAAACACGCCAGTCGCCGCTGAGAGACAAACCCATGCTGTTGTAATTTTCATTGATGCTCTCTCTCCGGATCACACGCGAGCATGCCTCGGTCTACTTTGTCTCCTCACATCACAGCTCACTGAGGCGGACTGAACCTGCTCCATCACATCACAATATGGCCTTACCTTCGCGCTCCTTATATCCCGCTTTAGGTTATGTTAAGGTGGAGCCTCCCCTGCATAGTGATCACCCCCAGTTCAGCTTTCTCCCCGACTGCTTTTGCCAGGGAGGGGAGCCGCCGTGCAGCCGCTGTCCACGTTCATCCTCCGGTTGCCTACAACTGTAGCGCACACACTCGCCTCGTATTCAGCCACACTCACCACGCCTTCAGCCGCCGGCTATTATGTGAACAAGCCCCGCATCCCCTCCCTCCCTCCTCCCCCCGCTGCCTCCCTGCCTCCCTCCCTCCCTCTCATCCAGCAGCTGCTGGCCGGTGTGGCTCGCACTGAATCCCCATAATAATGAAGTGTGATAGCCCGAAGGCTGTGTGCTGCATCCTCACTTTCCTTTAAAATGCTCTGTATGTGCCCTGTTTAGTGTCAGCAACCAGAAGTATGAGATTATGTTTAATCTTTCATAATATTATTGCCTAGGCTATATGTAGTCTATAGGCTACACGTATTGGCTATTTTATTTAATAATTTGCCTTTAAGCAAAGTATTTGTTCCTTTGATATTCTCAGTGAATGGATTTTTTTTATCTACAAACTCTTACAATTATGCCTCAACAGGCTTTTAAATTATGGAGGCTTCGCCATATCAGTTTATTATATAGTATTTGGATTCTCATCAGTTGTTACCATGACAACAACCACTTTTCCAGGGGCCAATATTAATATATACTGTATAGCCTATTCACCAAATGTTTACTGCTACACTAGAAAATCAAACATGTACAATAACACCATTAAACTACTGAATACACCCACATAAAAACCAAACATGTGACATACAAACTAACAGAAAAACTGACTGTAAAGCATAAAAAAATTAATCTCTATACAATTGCAGATTCACTCAGCAAAAAAGAACTTTAATATTATTTTGCTCATGTATAAGTTGTTTCTTAAAATCCCTTTTCACTAGATTATTGGAATATCATATCGGAATATAAAGAACTGCAGACTATATGATCGTATACTTTTTGATTGCACTGGTTGAGGTAGCGTAACATTACCTCTCTTCATCAGTCATGTTTGATAACTGTGTGTACATCCAGAAAATAATATACCTCAGTATCCTTCTGTGTTTCTGAAGTATTCTAAGACCTTACATTTTTCATCACATTGTTGTCTTTTAAAGCAGTAGGTATTACTAAAGTAAATTTCAGAAATTCAGTTAGCCTTACAGGCTCGCTCTGAGGCCGATATGTTTTTGTCTGTCTGCATGTGTGTTTGCACAAAGGCTTTTTTCCTCACATACATGGACTTGTGGCAACAAACAGGGGCTTGGTGATTAAAAATGGGAGTTGCTGAGGAGGATGTGTTTAGCTGGTCAGACCACTGACAAACACAGGAAATGGTACACACTGACAGTTCAAACATCTATAATATCTGATATACAGTCCTGGAGTTTCAGCCTATTCGAGTGGCAAAAACCAGCACCATATTTAAAGCACTTCATAGCTCAACCTGTAGAACAAATTGCTGATTGTCCTATACTGAAATGTGGGTCAAAGTCAACATTCAGCACCTTTTACAGTAGCAGGTTAACACATTGTTCACTAGCAAATATATGCTTAGTAAATTTAACTGCCAATTTGGTGGCTGTAATTATGCTACCAAGCCGACTATTACATTAATGTCACTTCACACATCAGCGACGTGCAAATCAAAAGACACAATACTGCACATTACTGGTGTGTGTTTCACATGTGTGACGCTGCTCCTGAAATATTTATTACTGTGTTTACTTTTAGTCAGCTGGTAATTTTCCAAAAGACACAAGCACAGCAGCCCTTTTTTAACCCCCCCCCCCCCTCCCAATAACATTTGATTCTGTTTCACAAAGAAATATTGAGATAGTTTAACGTCAAGATCAACTGGAAATCTGCAATAAGAACTGCACTGCTACTACCACATGTCCTCACAGTCTACAGTAAGTGCAGTAAGCCTCGTAGTAGAGCAACCCCCCACCCTCCAGTCTTGGATTTCTGACATCAGACATGAATAAGTATCTCATTAAGATCCCCCAAAACCATCTGTCCAGAGAGTCTCCTCCTTACAGGAAAATGCTCTTGTAAACAAAAGAATAGGATTCCCTCATTACCCTCATTTAGTTCTATCATTAATGGCAAGCTGTACTTCTAATATATTCAAGGAACTGTAGTGCTTTTTTTTAATTTAACAAATATAACACACTGGACTAAGCAATGTAAACATTTGTAAAAGTAACACTCTAGGTTGCTCATTTGTACAGAATTTTATTTTGAATTCTCCTTGATGCAAACATGTTCATGAACTTTTGCAAGATTGCATCTACTTTACAACGAACCGCTCCACAGTTGTTAGAAAAGAATATTAAAACATGGGAAGTACCTCCAAGTTCATTTTTTTACAATATTTACTGCATACACAATAACTATCCAATTTGGGAATATGTATTGTTCTTTTAATGCATAATTGAGTGTCTGTGCAATTATCTTTCAGTCTCCATTTAAGCATAGACAAATGTTGGTTGGCAGATACTTTATGCAGATACCCCCACACATCACCATGATGGAAACTGACGGAGCTGGACAACAATATTTAACAAGAAATAACTTCATCTGTTGTCTTGTGCAGAAATACTCTGAATAAGAGTGCTACAAATATGTTTGATGCATACTGTAGTTTTTTAAAAAAAAATTTAAACGTTTTGACCAATAGATGGAAAATTAATCAAATGTGCAGATTTCTGAAAGGACCTCTGATTCCTGTTGTTCTTATATAATAACTTAGTTAGTGTAAGATCATGAGCAAGAGTTTCTGAAAATTGGGAAAAATACCCTAATTATTCCTTGAAGCCTATGTTAACATATTCAAATAGCTTTCGATGTCAAAAACCCCAAAGATGTTGAGTTTAATATCATAGAAAACTGTGTCGAAATAGCAAATACTCACATTTGAGAGGCTGGTAGTGAATTATATCATTTTTGATTGAAAAACAACTTAAACAATTCATTTGACAACTAATTTTCACAATTGATCAACTAATCATACCTTTTTCTAGAGTACTGGTTGGTTTCTTGTTGCTTGGGAAAATAATGAAACTGCCATGTATAATGCTTGTTAGCAGGGGCCTTTTTGCCCTGTAGGAGGTTCATTTCGCTATGTACACAGTGATATATATATATATCATTATTTTATCTTACAACTAGAAATTTAACAATGTGTGATAAACAAAGTACGATGGAGTAACTGGGCATATTGTACCTCAAAATTTCCAAGCGAAACACGATAAATAAGAGTATAAGAGTCTAATATTCAGTATATGGTCCAATTAATGTTCTACTACATTGAATTTGGAATAATGGTTAAAGCGTGGGCGTGTTTCTTGACCATATTCCAGTTCTTTTCAGGACCTAATGATCAGTCAATGACAACATGTCAAAATAAACCTTCACTAGTGTCCTGGAACTACAGGATCTTGTTTTGAATCCAGCAAACAGGAAGTGCTGTGTTTCAAACGGCTGTGAGCCACTGATGACATCTGTCTCCCATGAATGAGCCATGACTGAAAACAAAAGCAAAAAGGACTGTCTGTTCACACCTGAGCAGAAACGTTTCTCTGCTGTTGTTGGCCTACATTTCAGTTCATGCTCTGTGTTATTAGCCAGCAGTGTTTGCACTGTCTGTCACTCCTTATTAAATCTGCACAACGCTGTGTAAACAGTGATGTGTTAGCTGTTGTAATTATGTCCACGTGTTCAGTTATCCCATGGCACATGGCCAGTATGACACTGGACATTTACTGTCATTCATACTGGGTTCTATACCCAGGCTAAAATATATATATATATCTTTTAACCAAACATTACACAACAAGCTCAAGTTTTACTGTAAAATTGTAACAAATTCATTGTCAGTTCTACAAAAACATTTGCAGCCGACAGCAAAAAACACAAAGGATATGAATATTATTAACAATCAGTTACAAAGTCCTGCGATCATAACTTTACTTAAATAGAAACAAAACGTATAAGCAGCTAAATGTACTTCAACTATCAGAAGCTCATTAGATGGCAAAATGGCAGCAAACTGGATTATTGTTGTTAATGCATGTTTATGCGGCATAATGTGTAAGATGCATTTTTATCTTTTATTTTTGTATAAGTAATTTACATAATGTACTTCACTCTATTAATGCATGATTTCAAATGATCAGATGCGTTGTGAGGATAACCTTAATCTTCAAAGTAACTACTAACTATTGCTGTCAAATAAAATATAGTGCAGTAAAAAGTACAATATTTCCCTCCAAAATGCAGTGGAGCAGACAAGTTATGTAGCATAAAATGGAAACACTCGAGTATAAGTACAAATATTTCAAAATTGTTCTTAAGTACAGTACTTGTGTAGACGTATTTGATTACATTCCACCACAATTGTGTCACTGTCATATCCACTCAAATTGTATTAAATATGACCCAGTGATTTTATTGCAGCTTGTTTTGTTTCAGAAAATAACAACATATTAGTTGTAGTATTACAATGAAATCAGAACGATAGTTTTGTTGGTTTGAATCAAATTGTGTGTCATGACAGAACTGTGTGAATATTGTATCACAAGTATCAAATATTTACATAGTATACCCACTTGAGGAATTACAAAGGGCATTGTAGTCTACAAACTATATGGGGGCCTCACTCAGCTGGAGGCCCTCGGTAATCAGTGCCTCTATTCACCCCACAACAGCCAGAATAATATGTGTTGTCTAGTCCATTGTGTGACGCCCTGCAGTTCCTGCATCATGTCTCCTGATCTGACTGCAACCGAGTTTGCTTTTCATATGTCTCTGAGCTACTGTGATGAAGAAAAAAGTCTTGTGCAAATATTGGCAATCTTTGAAGTAAAAAAAAAACAGATTCTGTTTCCTTTGGGCTATGTGTGTTTTAAATAATCATGATGTCATTTAAGGCTTTATTTTTAGTTTTTAAGTCTGTGCTTTCCAGCAGAAGCACATTTGCATGACATTTGCATTGGTAAAATGCAGACTTAAAAACCAGTTCAGCAGGATGAGGCGAATGCAAATATTGAACTTGAATTTCCATTTTGTAATAGAAAGTGCCTCCCCTGGGCCCAATGCATTGGCTTTGTTTAGCTCTATACTACCCCCAAGTGGTGGAAAGGGATCCAACTGAGGAGACCAAACTTGCTGAGAGTGTGGGGCTGCAGGAGGAGACGAGCAGCTAACGAGTCAGGTTAGTTTGTCTGCACAGGAAACTGAGGGAAACAGACATGAGGGTCGACAGAGTCTCCAGGTTAGTTATAATTTGGGTGCAATGTCTGATTGAACTGCTGAGACAATGAGACAACTGCAGGGTTTAGGTTATAAATTACTAACAATGCAACGACTGCTGCTCAGGTATGATTTTGACATTGATTTTGTGTCGGTGTTGTTGTTGTGGTTGTTGTTGTTGTTGTTGTTGTTGTTCAAAAGTTGACCTGAGTCGCTGAGTAGATGCAGTGTTCAAACGACCTGCATGTATGGAAATCCTGTTTATTGTTGAGCATGAAATCATTAATAGCTGATTCATACAACGGCTTCTCTATGTCGCTTTACTTGCAGTAAGCTTTGGGAGTTTAAGCTTTATTACAATGATTAACCATTAATGTATTTTGTCCTCTCATGCAATAATAATTGAGTTTTCCCAAGCTGAAAGAGTTTGTGTCAGAGGCTGAGTTTTTGTTTGTGAAAAAGCACAGGAATATTCACATAATATGATATAAATATATAGTAGCCTATATTGCTGTGGTATTGAGGTGTAACGTGAGGTCACTGTCTCTTATAGGGTAATGAAGAGGTTAAGACTCCAGGTCACAAACTAGCAGCCATGTTGAAAACTCATCTCTTTCCTAAGAATGAATTGTAACGATTCTTAAATATTATTGAAGGAAATGAAACTTTTTGACGCTGGAGTTTCACTGCGCAAATAAAGACCGTGTAAAATCCCCTTCGGATGCCGCAGCCAATGAAAACCATGCTGACATTGACAGCCGAGGTGCATGTCGGTAGCTGCAGTTCTTGCGTCGCCTGCAGCCCGTTCGCCGCTCCGTGCTCGCTGCTGTGGCGGACTACAGGGCTCTGGGTCCTGGACAGAGGCGGTTTTGCGTTGACAGCGGTTGGTACTGAGCGAAGTACGGCGGCACAAATATCGTCTGTGTGTGTGTGTTTTTCTGCGGTTTAACGTTTCCAAAAGTTGACATCTGCAAGTATGCAGTCCGAATCGGGAATTGTTCCCGACTTCGAGGTTGGAGAGGAGTTTCAAGAGGAGCCGAAAACGTATTACGAATTGAAGAGTACACCCTTGAAAAACAGGTCAGTTGTGTGGCTGTGGACAGTTATTTCCCACGCTGGAGCGGTTTTTGTGTTCAGGTGATAATTAGGCTGCAGACCCTTTTCAGTGTTGGCCGGGCTCCGTGCATGTGTGAGGCTCCTCCTGTGTGATGTTAACTGGAGCTGGACCCGACGCTGAGCTCTGGAGTGGGGATTCAACTGGTCTCTCATTCCTTATGGTTATCCCGCTGGCATGAAGTTATGCAACACTTGGGTGTTGTCTTGTCAACATCAACTCCAAATATTAGCTCGTAGAGGAGCAGACAGGTCAGAGTCTGATGAGATGCTGCTCAGCCTCACTTATGGTGATGGTTGACGTGCTGTTCAAGAAAATGGATGGGTTGTTTTTTGGTGGGGTTTTTTTTGGATTTTCCTAAAACTCTTAATAGAAATATATTTTATAGACGATTTTAACAATAACTGTTTTGATTTGGCAAATAATATTGTGTTAGTATTAAGTTAAAATAAGTCTGCAGGGTAAATGATACAGATGCAGATGGCAGGATATTCACAGGCTGAAAGTTATGTAGGCTACACATATACAACAAATCAGCACCTGGAAAGAGCTCTAAGTAACAGACCCTGTAAATGATATCAGGATTTTGCAAACCGAAGCGATATGCTGAATATAGTTGTTGGAGAAAGTGCTCTTAAATCCTAACAAAGCAAAAACGTTTTCATAGAATAAATGAACAACAACAGTTACTAGTTCCTCTGGCGTCTCAAACACAAACACTCTGCACCACTGACTGATTAGAAAGCTGTTTTCAACTTTTGCAAATTGAGGCCTCTCTAAACAATCAACATTGAGCTGAGTCAGGTCTATGTGGTCTGATTTGACCTTTCACCCCCTTTTTCTGGAGGTATTGCACAGTGAGTGTGTTGTCTGATATGTCTGTTTGTGTATGGTGTCAAATTCAGACGATAGATCTTATAATCCGTTTGGCTAGTTTAGTCATAAGTTCAACATTTTGGGAAAAGACCGACACCACTGACACATCTGTATGCAAAAATAGGAAGCTCCACTCAGCAGATGGTTGGGGTGAGTTATTTTGTGATCGATGGTGAGTGATTTTAATACATAATGAGACACTTTTTTAGCTGTGATTCGTCAGAGAAGTTGTGAAACTCACCACTCGGCCTGTGTGATGATGTTGATGATGATGATGATGATGATGATGATGATGATGATGATGATGATGACGGCAGTACACCTATCAGCAGAATGCTGTCTGATTTTCTGTACGTTGTGTCCACACGGCTCTGTTATGCTGTTTGGAGATAGTAATAGCTCGCCTCATTGTCAGGGTGAGACACACTGAGGACAGTACACCACTGTGTGCAGACAGAGCTCTTATTGCAGATGTTTGCCACTTATTTGTTCCCCCTCTGGTTCTTTTGACATGTTGTTGCAGATTTGTATTTTATCTCCTTTTCTCTAAATTCAGGCCAAAACACAAGATCAGGAAGAAAACTGTCATCTCAGACGGCCCCAACCCTTAACCCAGTTCTGCATTTTTTAAACTAATTTCTTCAATTTCTTCATTAGTGAAATGCCATTACACTGTTACTTATACACGGGCTGAATCTGAGCTGTGTTGTGTTGTGTTGTGTTGTTGCTGGCTGAGCAGAAATCAGTGGCAGTAAAACTGAAGTGCCAGCATTGTTCCTGGAGAATCACAGAATATTTAACTTATTTAATGTTATTTCCTTTGGAATATGTGAAGCTGTCTGAGCAGTTGTTTTGATTGAAGTTAACCCACTTCCTCTTCCCATCACATGAGGATGACCCAGCATAATAATAGTCACAATGACTGCGTTGTGAGACATTGTTGCGCAAAATGCTTATAATTAGTCAGATTGATTATTGACTTGTGTGATGTCTTGTCATGGCTGGCCCCCGCTGTTTCTAAATTTGAAATGTGAAGTGTGACAAAATGTCATCTTAGCTTTCGCAGATCTATTTGTTTTCTTACTGTCTCCATATCAGCTTGACAGCGCACTCAGGCTGCTGCAGACGATGTGCCAGACTTTTTGTGCCTAATATAGATGTGAGACAGGCGGTGAAACTGGTCTTCTATGCAGTGTAAATAAGCTGTATAAATATAGCAGTGGATGTGTTATATCTGAAACTGAGAGTTGGGGGATCTTTTTTTTTTTTTTTGCAGGCGAACTTGGCATATAAATCAACTATAAATATTTATGCTGTAAATCTTATGCTTTCTAGTGCGCAAGTTAACGTTTGACAAAAGCAGAGGGTTGTTCAAAATTTCCATATAAATCCAGGTAGCTTCTCAAAGTGTGACTTTTTACTTTGCTCAGTATAACTCTTGTCTTTCTACAGTAAGTTTTTCATTTAACATAAACCAAACTTTTCATGTATAATAGTGTTTAATGCCATATATGAATACAAAGACCCGTGCAAGAGCTTTGCCTAAATAACACACGGTTTAAAATGAACAAAATTATGATTTAAGTCAGGAAATATTTGATCCAAGAATAAACAGGACTAAGATTGTGATCAAAAATGTGATGCCAGGTTTCAATACTTGGCAGTTTGTGAAACTGTATATACACTTGAATCAATCTGCTCCCACTGCCTGTGCTTTACTTTGATCTATTTAAGTATCTTCATAAAGGAACATTAATTGTCACTAAAGAATACAGATTAAATGATCATTTAAGTGACGTACTTTTTCTAGTCTGATGAGCCTATAAACATTTTTATCATCTCCTCTTTTATCTCACCTGGACTATGGTGCTGGACAGTGAGAGGAACGTGGGATTTCATTAAGAAAATCAACCTGAAAGTAAAAAGTTAAAATAGGATTTTGAACCCGCTCCACCCCTTCCCTAGTAGAAATTGCACTTTTGCATATTTCAATATGGCTGTCACAGTATCAGGCTTATCCCTTATCAGAATATCAGACATATTACAATATCAAATACATGGTTATTATTAACGCCTTGTAAAGTCAAAGCACACTGCGTGCATCAGCGCGCTGAGTCAGAGGTTGACGATTATGAAAGTTGGTGTTGGGAGCAGCCTGTTCCCGTGGGTAGTCCCAGACAGAGATGCCAGAGAGGCCGAAGAGTTTCATCCATGATCTAAGACGGACCGAGGGGCTAAATGACACGGACAGGTGTTGGCGGCTGCAGTAAAATATGGTTAGAACGACTTGTCCTGCAGTCATGATCACTTTGCTGCATCTTAATCTCTTCTGTTGCTTCTTGAAGCACACGTCTGATCTACATTTCACCCCTGGAAAATCCTCATAAACTTTGGGTTTTTGTTCTGCTCCATGAGTTTTAATGTTAAAGATCCGTGATCTCTGTCACCCTCTATTGGTGACCAGTAGGAACTGCAAAACATTGCAAACATCACTTCAGCAGGTCGCATCCCCAGACCTTACAGCGTGGCCTGTCGTCGACACAAGAAATTAACACGGAAACAGTAGTTTCATAATATGGCAAAACATTGCACGGCAGTAAGTAACTTATTATGCTCTGAAATGATTTCATTATTGATTAGGCTGCAGAATGATTGCAGAATGATTTCTTGATTAATCTTTGGTTTGGTCTAAAAAACATCAGAAAATAGTGAAAAATCACAAGAAAAATATCCCAGAGCACAATGTCTTCAAACTGCTTGTTTTGACAGACCAGAACCCAAAGACCCTCCGGCTGCTTTTACACGAGACAAAAATAAAACAGCAAATCCTCACAATCGGGAAGCTAGAACCTATGATTTAAGCAGCTAATCGACTAATCATTTCAGCCCTAGAATACTGTGACTACAAAGTGTGAATACATTGACCTTTGCTTACTGTGTGAAAAAAGAGCTTGCACCTCCTCTCCTGAAAAATAAAGATATTAGTCATGAGCATCTTCAGATCAGGTCATTTTTGCTGAAGGTCAAGAAAAGCTTTTTTCTTTGATTTGCTTATTGTGTGTAAAAATGAGGATTAGTTATGTTTTTAAGCTATGAATGGTTACTTTTTACAGTGCAACAATGTGCTGGTTGTCTGTTATTATCACCTTCAAAGAAAATCGGGAATATCGTTTTGGGAAAAGCTGCTTTGTTGTGTTCGTACATCCTCATTTACACAAACTTGGAAACCTCATGGACTCACTCAACCTGCTGCAGGGGAGTGTATGAAATCCTCCTCCCCCTCAGTGTCCTTGGACGTTCTGTTTTCTCCGTGTTTCAGCACAGAGGGAGCAGGAGCAAGAGCAGGCCGTCCTGCTGAAAACAAGTGGAGGGAATTATGAAGGGTACAGAAACCTAATTATAGAAATAAGACCCGGCAAGTTCAAGTTATCCCAACCAGACTTGGCTTCCTGGAAACACCATGCAAAGAACCTGATTATCTCTTTGGATGCTTTAACAGCTTACCCTGTTTTGTTTTGCTCTGGAGTCTGAAGCTATGAATGTCTCTAGCAGCAGTGCTATTCTGCAGGGGAAATGAGTTTACAACATTTAGAGTTTGTACCAATTTTACATCAATTTGACAGTTGTTTATGTAAAGGTTATGGTGAGTTCTTATTGGAGAACATAGTAAAAGTTTGCTAGAGACAAGCAGCATTGTTAGGGACTGTAGATCTGAGTGGCAATGGTTAGTTTACCAGAGGAGCAGGTTTGCCAGTTACTTTCCTAAGCGGATGGGAATAAATAAAATTTGCAATTTCTCAAATTGATTTTTGTTGGGTTGGACTTTATATATGGACTTGTATATGTCCATATCTGTTTTTATACTGATGAATATGCCAATTATTTTCTAGATTAATTGTTTAAAATGTCAGAAATTGTTGAAAATTCTGATTACAATTTTCTAAAGCTCAGTGTCTTGTTTTGTCCCACAAAGGGTCAAAAACCCAAAGATCTTCAGTTTATTATTACTGAAGACAAAGTATTCAGTTGATATCAGATGTTATGTTTTCTGTGGTTTATATTGTGGCATCACGCAGGGTCGGTTGTGTTT